ATTCCTGCTTGACAGTGGTCTGCTGCTGGAGGATGGATAGAGGCTCAGCTGTCCGCCAAACCTCCCACCTCTCATTTCTTCCCTCGTCACCATCTGCTTGACCTGTAGGCATTTGGTCTGCACCTTCTGCTCTTTGGGTTTTCAGATGAGCCAGACACTATTCGAGAAAACATGTAATGATCCTGCCGCTGCTGTTCGTTCCTATTCATTCCTAGTATAATCTCCTTCCCTTGAGAGTGCACTAGACCTAAATAGAGACTTGCTTCTAACGAACAGAACAGAGCAAAGGTGATGAAAGCTGCTTCCAAGGTTAAGACACAAAAGATTGTATGGCCATCTTGTTATTGTCTCTCTCTCTCTTCCTCCCTTTCTCCTCCTCTCCTCTTCCTTGCAAGATCTGTTGAAGCAAGCTTCCATGTTGTGAGCTGCCCTATGAAGAGGCCCATGTGGTGGGGAACTCAGGGCAGCCTCCAGCCCACAGCCAGTGAGGAACTGAATCCTGCTGGCAACCACATGAGTGAGCTCAGAAGCAGATCCTTCCCCAGTCAAACTTTCAGATGACTACAGCCCTGCCTAGCACTTTGCAGTCCTGTGAGAGACCCTGAAGCAGAGGACCCAACTAAGCTGCACGCTGACTCCTAGCCTAGAGAAACTGAGGTGATAAATGTTGTTTTAAGCCGTTACATTTTGGGGTCATTTGTTATGCAGCAATAGTTAACCACTACACAGACAGTTCTCACAACTGTTACAGTCGTCAAAGACTGTGTTTGGTCATTCTACACCCACAGCTGGAAGGGACCAGGCACCGTTCCAGGCATTTGGGGTACACCAATGAACAAAATAAAGATTGTTGCCCACTTGGAACTTATATTCGAGGGCAATGGTTTTGCATAGAAGTCTGGGTTGGCAGGGCTGTTTTGAAGGAAAGACAGCCCCTTCAGCTCCTGGGAGAAGGTTCTTAACCTTTCACATCTTGGGCCCCTTTGAAACGCCAACAAAAGCCACAGACTGGTTCTTCAGAAAATTGTTCACGCACAGAATTTTGCATGCAGTTTTAGGGATTTTCATAAGAATTCTTGTGGGCTGACCTGGGGGGAGTCTTGTGACAAGCATTTTTTTAAATGCTGGGGCAAAGAGAAACAAGACAGAAAATCAAAGGGGGGAGACATATTAAAATCAGTCACTTTTACAGCTGTGATAAGTGTTGTAAGAGATGCCCAGGGAAGTGTGGGGCTATGTAAACGATGACCCCCCCAAGTCTGGGTGCTCAGGGAAGGCTGTCCCCCTGAAAGCGATGTAGGTGAGTGAGATTTGAAGGATGGGTAGGAATTTGCCAGGTTGGGGGCAGTGGTGGGTGGTGGCTTCTTTGTTAAGTGGTGGGGGGATAGTGGTGGGGAAGGTGGGCTCAGGTCCCTATCCTCTGGCCCATACAGTCTATCAGAGGAAACAGACACGTCGTGATGAGTTTTATCAAAGGGTGACTCGAATGTTATATGAGTCATATAGCAAAGGGATTTATTGCTGGAGTCAGGCAAGGAGCCTTCCTGTAGGAAGTGCCCGTTAAGTCAAAATCTGAAGGATTAGTTAGATAGGCCAGGGTGGGGGAATGTTCCACGCCCAGGTGGGAGAACACGGGGTTTTAATGGATGAGAACAGGTCACAACAGTGAAAGCATAGAGAAGAGAGAGGCCAGAAGGGAGGTGGGGGCAGCAGGATGGCCCGATGGACTAGGGGGCATTGTTGGGAGTTTGTACGTTTGCCCAATAGTCGTGGAAACTTCCAAGGGGAGAGGCCTGGTTGAAGCCAGGATCATTCTGACTGGAAGGTGGACTCACTGGCATGAGTGGAATTGGGAAGGCCAGGCTGAAAGGGTCGCAGGAGTCCAGGCGGGAGTTGATGAGACCTAGGCTTGGGGGCCAGCAGAAGATGGAGAGGAGAAGTCTTTAAAGGCAGGAGCCACACGCTTGCTGGTAGGTTGGATGTGGAAAGTAAGGCTGGGAGCCGAGTCTGGATAACTTCGCTTTGAGCTTAAGCAACTGTGTGCAAGGTGGTGCTTTTACCAACACAGGCAGCAACGGAGGTAGAGCAAGTTAGGGAGGAAGGAGGAAGGTCATTTTCTGTCATCATTGAGCACTTCTTTTTTTTTTTAATTT